CAAGGCAAGGTTAGTTCAGGTTATTAAATATCATGTGGTGTGACACCCTAAAAACAGAATGAATCAATAATATAAAATATTTCACATGTATTTAAGGTGTAAGGAAAATATTTCACTCACATGTATTTAAGGTGCAAGGAAAGTGTTTTATTTTGTTTTACTTAATGGTTATACCACATTTTTAGCGTCTTCTAAAACACATGAAACAAAAAAAAAGCTTTATCATTGACCCATACAATTTCTGTCTCATCTACTTAATTTATTCTTCATAGAGAGGGGGAAAAAATGCTTAAATTGATCTTTGCTTTCCCTTCATATGTTCTCCAGGAGCTCCACATTCATTTCAGACTGCAGTCGAAATGTGCAAGTTTGTTACCATGGTGATCTTTTCCTGCTCAGCACTTCATGCAGCTGTGAACTTCTCTCAGGTATGTTCAGTTATTAATAATCTGGCGGAGGTATTCAGGAACAGCATATTATGTCCGTTTAGCTCATTCAAATTCACTAAACTCATCTCAACCCTCATCTCCACATTTAGCTGGATTATAACATTTGGATACCGAACAGTCCAGCGGCCATGTCACGTCCACCTTCTCAGACCAAAGGCTCGGTGTCTGAGGAGGATGTTTTCTCCTTCCTTCCTGAAGTGAACTCCTCTTGCCACGTCCTTAGTGTCCTGTCTCTACTGTCACAACCTGCCATTGACTTTGTAAGTGATAACACAATCTCCAGAGTAACGCTGCATGGAATTTACACTAAATATTTACTATAGGATGCAGACATGATGTTCATCTAGCCATTACTTTCTCTTTAGGTGCCCTTGTGCCATTATAATGAGTGGTACTTCAGCAGTGGTGCAATTGTCAAGCTTGTGGAGGAGGTCCGGAGAGAGCTGAAAATGTTAGCAAAAGACATCGCAGATAGGAACAGCCAGCTGGAGTTGCCCTATCCTTACCTGTCTCCAGACTGCATTGAGAACAGCGTGACTATTTGAGTTCAGTGTCGAATTGAATCATTAATTGTATCTGTAAGGCCACTTATTTGCAGAACTACAACTTGGTGTTCATTTGCCACTATTTTGTATACTCAATAACTTGTATTACATTTGAGTCTGCGTTTTATATGTATGCATCTTAAGTCAGAGTAGAGGTAGGTCTTTTGTCTCAGTTTTAACTATAATTACATTTACATCTTTAAGCATTTCAAGTTTGATATTCAGGGCTTGGTTTTACAGCAGGCTATACTGTTGATTTAAGAACTAGCTTTTTTTTTTTACAGGTTCATATAATGAATAATTAATTCAAAATGTAAGTTAATGCCAAAAGAAGGTTTTAACCTGTTTATTTCCTGATAGCACATATACATCACGGAGACGTCTATTTGATGTCTGCGTTTACATCTGAAAGATGTCTTTTTTAGAGTGTTTGCTCATCTGCAATATGTCTGTTTGACGTTTCCTATCAGATGTCAAATAGACGTTTATTAGATGTCTTTAAGATATATATGATTTCAGATGTAAAACTGACATCTGAAAGACGTCTGTCAGACGTTTGTACACAGCAGATGCTTTCCAGATCAAGCGATCTTTAACAGACATCTTGCAGACATACATGTGCTATCTGGGTTCATTAGAGCTACCATAACAGAAAATGTGCAATTCTGGAAATTTCTTGAAAAAGTTTTAGAATAAAATGATATTTAATTTAGTTAAAAGTTCAAAGCATTACATTTTTTTTTTCATGTGGACCTTTTTTGCATGATTTGCAAGGTTTTTGGAAATGAGGCACAATAAAAATATTTCTTTCCCAAGAGAGATTTACATTGATTTTTCTTTGTTCTCTTCACCCATCACATTTCATATTTCATCTCAAGCAAGTTCTTTGTTGAAACTAGGGGATGGGACAAGTGTAGAAAAAAATCTGTGCATAAATTGCTTTTTAAAATAAAAAAATAAATCATTAGTTATGTTCAAATCGTTTTTATATGACCTCCAAAAAAATAAAGAATTCTATTAATTTGAATAAAAATACTACATACTACTTGCTGAAAGTGAAGAAACGCTCAGAAACATGTATTGTGACATTGAACTAGGTCTCGTTGCGTGTCGTCCAGGGCACAAGGGGCGGTAGTGTTCAGGAGACCTGTGTGGAAACAGTCAGCGCAGGTGCACTTTTCTATCCTGCGTCCCATTTCCAACCGTCATGTGGACCTTTTTTGCATGATTTGCAAGGTTTTTGGAAATGAGGCACAATAAAAATATTTCTTTCCCAAGAGAGATTTACATTGATTTTTCTTTGTTCTCTTCACCCATCACATTTCATATTTCATCTCAAGCAAGTTCTTTGTTGAAACTAGGGGATGGGACAAGTGTAGAAAAAAATCTGTGCATAAATTGCTTTTTAAAATAAAAAAATAAATCATTAGTTATGTTCAAATCGTTTTTATATGACCTCCAAAAAAATAAAGAATTCTATTAATTTTAATAAAAATACTACATACTACTTGCTGAAAGTGAAGAAACGCTCAGAAACATGTATTGTGACATTGAACTAGGTCTCGTTGCGTGTCGTCCAGGGCACAAGGGGCGGTAGTGTTCAGGAGACCTGTGTGGAAACAGTCAGCGCAGGTGCACTTTTCTATCCTGCGGTAATCCAGCTGTTGACATCTGTTCGTATATCTAAAACCATTTAAAGGTCAGTTTGTGTACAAACGTATTGATTGCATGGGTTAATCTAACCACTTAATAACGCTTATGAGGTGAAAGTATTACTATGAATAATTCATATTTGTAGTAAGGTCTCGACACTCAAGCTAGTTTGCTTTGAAATATTGTTACGCATGTAGTAAACACATTCCAATTTAAGCTAATATTGTTAGAATCTACCATATAAGTCAGCTTTAACTTTGTGCAAGTCATATTGTAACATTTCATCGACAGATTGAACGGTTGCATCTGCAGGGCGCCATCGCTGCAATCCACCATTTTCTTGTCATAAAAATGGGCGCGGCCATTTGTAATTTCTATGGGTCTGGCTTCCGGTCTCATCTGCGTCCACTCCGTCCAGCTATTTTTAGCTGAACAAAACAGTTCGTTTTGCTGCTTGATATTGAAAGTTGGTGTGTCTTATCGTATTATTTTAATGCATTATCTTAATTATGAACACACTGGGTTGTAGTGCAAACAGTTTTACCGTTTACTGCACGTTGTTATTCTCCTCGTTATTTACCTATAGCGGCTAATGAACCGGAAGTCTCACCCATAGGCTTACTTCCGCGTTGAAGAAAAAGGTGGATAAGGTGAGCTTTTTTTTAACGAAAGGGCAACCTGTAGCACAGAATTAGATGGCGGGAAGGCTATTTAAGTTAGGGTGACCAGAAGTTTTTTTTAAGTTTTTTTACGAAAGGGTAAGCTGTCAAATTACATTTTTATGCCTGTATACAGTACTGTACATACTGTATACATACGAAAATTGTAGGTTTTGTTTGGATATTTACATATCTTATTTATCTAAAAGAGAAATCATAAGCAATACTCACGTATCCTGGCTTGAAGAAGAATTTAAAATGCGCTTCGGAACAGTGGCGAGTACATGTCGTCCAGTGGTTGTCCAGACAGGCTAAGCACAACCTTCAGCAATGGCCCTGAACCGTGATTGAATGGCAACATTGTGACAACGCAGTAACAACCTCAACGACACAACGTAGAACCAACAACCTTTTAGCCATGTTGTAACAACGTTGCTAAAAGGTTGGCTACGTTGAGGCAACGTTCTGTGTTTGTTGGGTAGCCAGTGTTGCCAATTTAGCAATTTTGTTGCTAAATTTAGCAACTTTTACGAAAATTGTAGGTTTTGTTTGGATATTTACATATCTTATTTATCTAAAAGAGAAATCATAAGCAATACTCACGTATCCTGGCTTGAAGAAGAATTTAAAATGCGCTTCGGAACAGTGGCGAGTACATGTCGTCCAGTGGTTGTCCAGACAGGCTAAGCACAACCTTCAGCAATGGCCCTGAACCGTGATTGAATGGCATAATTGTTCATTTATGATACACCTTGTTGTACCTGTGATTGTTGATCAGTTAGTACACTGTAAGAAAAATATCTAGAAAAGGTAGGCTTCTAGTAATTTTCCAGGACATTATCCGTTATCCATTATCCATTGTAAACCCTTTAACCCGAAACACAAAATACAATGCGTCATTTAAAATGCCGGTGAAAACCTGCAAATTATTTTCTTAGAGTGTAGCATACTGACTACTAATACACTGCTTAGAAGTAATTGGTCAGAATGTGTAGTTTTACTAGTTCACTAGCTAATAAAAGTGACACAATTTTTGCATCGTGATTACGTAATGTCATCACAACTTAATTTAGCAACTTTTAGCAACAAATCGACCTTCCTTTAGCAACTTCCCCTGAAAATGAGTTGGCAACCGTGCCTGTAGCACACAATTAGATGGCGGGGAAGGATATTTTAAGTTTCAAGTATTCTTTTGTCCTCTCCAGACAAGTTTAAAAGTTAAAAACTACTGCTTTTTCAAAGCACTGTTTGACCATTGAGTGGCGCACTAGTCCATGTAACAAACCGCATTACCATTCTAGTGAGAAATATGTGATCTATAATAACATTACATTTATTTCATTTTCCCTCCAAAGCATATCTCGAGTGTCAAGATAGACTCGTGAAAGGTCGATGAACAACATTTATAAAGTGTGTGTGGCATTCAACAAAATCTCTGCGTGGAGATAATGCCTTTTAGATTACATTTATAAATAAATAATAAACAATTGTAAAATGTTTCATAAAAAGTTTCATAACATTGTTTGCACGTGTTTTCGTTTTCATTTCTCTAAATGAAATACGAATCCATGTGTTGGGGAGTTAAGCGTGGGGGCAAAAAGTTCCCCAAACAGATTTCACTCATGTTCTAGTTCTAGTTGTAGAAAGCTGCTTGCTTTGAAAGTGACTTCTGTGTTTTGTGTGAGCTGTGCCTCTTACATCAATAAACTATTGACCCTTTTTCCCTGTAAACTTATGCTGAAATATTGCTCAAGGGACTGCACTTAAACTTAGTAAATTCAAACTTGCAACAGTTTTACAATAGTACATTGTTGATAAGTGATAATTAATAGTTTGTTCAGCCCTCTTTTTGCGCAGTTAGTAAACCAAATGAAATATTTTGACTGGAAGACTTGCTAGGAATGACAAGCAGTAACACAATCTCATGTTTATTGTACAGGAAATGACATCAGAAGGCCACCATTTCCTCTTCAATTCTTTGTATGGTGTAGGAAAGGTAATTATGATCCTTCTAATTGTTCACTAAGTAAACATTATAAATTCACAAATATAATACAGTTGTCTTTCATATGGTTCTTGTAGGGCCATGTGACCACTAAGCCACTCCTCGTTAGTATAGTGGTAAGTATCCCCGCCTGTCACGCGGGGGCGGGAGACCGGGGTTCGATTCCCAGACGGGGAGATGCAAAGCTTTTGCCAGTTTGTCCATGTTAATATTGTGTTATTAACAAGTAATAACACTGTAATTATATTATTACAGCATAGACTTTCAATACACTTCTTTTTTTCTTCTTTTTTAATTGTTATCATCGAAATAATATTGCCAAATGCACATGCATTTACAAGAAAATGTACTCCATGAATTGCCTCAGAGATCTACTTGAACATGTATGCTTAAAATATACAATATTAAGTGGACAATGAAACACAACACAAAAATGTATATGTTAACGCATACAGAAAAAAGTGAGTCTACAGCAGTAGATAACAATACATGGCACAATGATATAACATGTACTTGTTTGTACTTGTTATATCATTCATTCAAAGCTCATTCATTCATTCACTTGTAATGTTTCTATACAAATTTCTATATGCTTTGTTAAATCGATCGAACAGTTAAAAAAAAGGAATCAAGTATTATTATATTCCCATTAATCTTTCCTCTTTAAGGAAAGATAAACAATGTGTGTGGGGGAGGGGTTCTGCATGTGTACATGTGTGTGTGTGTGTTTTGTTGTTTTTACAAACTTACTGGCTGTTAGAAAAATAATTTAGCTGTTTTTGTTACACAGTGAACTCCTGAACAATGCCAGATGGACAAGTCTTTCTTGATCTTTTGAGAGTTCCAGGTCGGTAAGATTAAGTAAAATAACATCGATAAAATATTAAACTATAACAATTTAAGTTAGAATCAATCCATGTATTGTATTTCATAAACTAAAAATGTTACAATGCTTATTACTATGTTATTACTATGTATTTCAGACTTAATCAGCTGAACTGTGTTATGGAGCTCCTCGTTAGTATAGTGGTAAGTAGAGCCCGACCGATATGGGTTTTTTGGGGCCGATACCGATATCGATATTAGGGGGTTTAAAAAAGGCCGATACCGATATATTCTTTGTGTATATTATAGTACAGTACCAGTCAAAAGTTTGGACACTTTCCCATTCGTGTGTCCAAACATTTCACTGGTACTATATATAGAATACAGTATATACATAAACAGAATATATATACATAAACACATTTTTTGCAATGATCACTCAAATGTGGTGATCAAACACTTATAATGGTGACAGAGATATGTAAGGGCATTTAACAATTTAACAATAAACTTTACTATTCAAAATGAGTCTGACATCAGTGCACTGAACAGTAACGTTTAAGTTTATTCAACTTTAATTAAATTCAGTTCCATTCAACTTTGTTCCGTTGAAGTTTATTTCACTTCGGAACATTCATTCACGGATTTGCGCTACTAGTTTATTTCACTTCGGAACATTCATTCACGGATTTGCGCTACTGTCTTCACACACACACGAAACTTACTAGAGAAGTGTGAAATAATATAATATAGGGGAGCGCGATGCACAAACAGGGGGGTTAGTTGTAACACACGTAGTTTGAATATTTTACCAAAGTAAAATTAAAATTCTGGCTTAAGTCAATTTTTTATCTCAGTTTATATTATTCATTTAAAATGAGACAAATCTGCTATTATTTTAATCTCCAATCTGTTATTTATCAGTTCAGATCGTTTTTTAATGTTTTGATTACTTGCAGAAGACACTAACCAGTTTTAAATTCAAGTTGCGCAGATGGGGCACGTTGTATCACTGCGTTACAATGTGCTATTCTATGACATTAGCGATGTACATGTGGATTTACACAAACTGAGAAAGTCAAAAAGTGTTACTTTGTGCCCCGCTCTCCCCTACCTCTGTAAATAAATACAATATAAATTCACGTCTTGCGCACTTTAATGCAACGTGTACGTTCCCTTGGAACTGGAATCATGGCGGAATTTCATGTGAAGTCCACTTCGCAGGGCACTTACGGTCGAATAAGACCACGCGTGAATGCTGCCTGAACAAGAGACCTCCTTACTGAAGGGAAAGTGTTGACTGGTGTCACTATCTCGCGAACGTGCCGGCGGATCTCCACCAAATTCGGGGGATCCCTTCAGCTCGAGGAGCCCTCTCGAACGCCACCCTCCGCACGTTGGTATCCCCCCCAGGATCGCTAGATCGGTCGGCTCCGGACCGCGAATTTAACCATCCGTAACTCCCGAACCCAGGGGGCTATCCACGCGGGGTGGTCTCATTCGAAAGAGGGCCTCTAGACGTACACTCGATTCGCGTTCGAGAGGGTTCCTCGAGCTGACGGGATCCCCTGAATTTGGTGCAGAATCGCCGCGCCGTTAGGGAGATATGGCCGTTCAAAGTTTCAATGGTTTTCCATTGACTTAAGCTTTAAAGCGTTTCATCCAGGTCACCAGTAGCAAACAATAGAGCGCACTCTGCTGGACAAACTAAGTAATTACACCATTTCAAGCATTTTATCTGCATTATATGTTCTGTAAAAAAAAAAAAATATCGGCGGCATATTCGCCGATACCGATATATCTATGATATAGATATATATCATATCACGACAGGCTCATATCGGCCGATAATATCGGCAAAACGATATATCGGTCGGCTCTAGTGGTAAGTATCCCCGCCTGTCACGCGGGAGACCGGGGGTTCAATTCCCCGACGAGGAGATGCAAAGCTTTTGCCAGTTTGTCCTTGTTCATATTATGTTATTAACAAGTAATAACACTGTAATAATATTATTACAGCATAAACTTTCAGTACACTTCTTTTTTTTCTTCTTTTTTAAATTGTTATCATCCAAATAATATTGCCAAATACACATGCATTTACAAGAAAATTGATTCCGAGATCTACTAATGGCGCTTTTCCACTGCGTGGTACGACTCGGCATGGCTTAGTACGGTACGGCACGGCACGGCTCGGCTCGGTTTGCGTTTCCACTGCAGTTCAGTACCGCTTTAGAGTGGGCGGGATTATTCACATGTCGTTATAGTTGCGCCGCCTCTACTGCTGCGACTTTTTCATTCCACGTCGCCCCGTCAAGCTCTCACTGGATCCGCTCCTCTGCTATCAACGAGAGGAACATCTGTACTTCCTCAACAGACAACGAAACAGCCACTTTTTGGTTGTTAAAAAAGGTGCGCTTGTTCAAAACAGTTGCGTTCAATCCTTCGCTGATTTAAATCTAGCAGTTCTGTTGTGTTTGTGTCGCAAGTTCAGTGACGCAGGTAGTGACGATTCTCTCCGGCCAATCCGTGATCAGCAGAGTTTACACGTCACGTTTTGGTAACGGTACGGTTCACTTGGAACCTCAACCGATGTGGTACTAAAAAAGGTACCAGGTAATGTACCCAGTGGAAAACCCCCCAAAATTGAGCCAAGCGATTGTGAGTCGGCATGGCTCCAGCATGGATGAATCTAATGTTCTGAAGAATACGCGTGGCAGTCGGTCACTGCACAGGTGTGGATAGTCACTGTACTTCAGAATCACAGATTCTAGCCTACATCTTGGAATGTGACCCAAATAAGAATTTTCACTGTATATTGCCATCTGAACAAGTATGTATATGAATAGTCATACTCTTCGAATTTCTGTTTCGTCATGCCTTGAGCTGATCTGTGCTGGTTGCTGAGGAAATACAACAACTTTGCGCTGTAGATCACCGGATTGACTTTCACCGTGGACGAAGCGAAGTCCAGCCCGGGGTTGTCACATGTGGTTGCCGCAAGCTCTCCGGACGCTCCTTCGTCGAATCCGTCGGCCGCGCCGTTCTCAAGCCCGCCACCTCTGCTCACTCTAGCCCTCTGGCCATTCCTCACTCTAGCCCCCGGCCTCTGCTCACTGTAGGCCGCCGCCGCCGCTCACTCTAGGCCACCGTGTGTGATGCTGTGTTTCGTTGTGAAAGCGAAACTACTTTGTTTGGCCTTCCAAAAATGGACACGACTAGAAATCAGTGGTTAAGTTGTATTTACAACACTGTTCCAGAACACTTCAACCCAAATATTCAGATGTGTGCAGCACATTTTATGGAGGACCGTTTCCTGATCCTGGTAGAGTAAGACCACGCTTGAATGCTGCCTGAACAAGAGACCTCCTTATTGAAGTGAAAGTGTTGACTGGTGTCACTATCTCGCGAACGCAATGCAAACATGGTTTTATGTTTACGCAACGCAATGTGTAAAAAGACAGTATAGTAAAGTCAATATAATCCATAATTATGTCCCCACTGGATGCAACGAATGCCTCGTTTATAATGGGTTTGAATCATCGCTCCGGCCTGACGGCATCATCCCAGTATGGTAGGGTCGTAACATTTCCGTCACACGCTTGAGGTATTCGGCCAATCATAACGCACTGGATAGCTGGCCAATCACAGCACACCTTGCTTTTCAGACCGATGAGCTTTGTAAAAATCGACGCGTTTCAGAAAGGCAGGGCATAGCGGAGAAACAATAATGTACAGTATGTGGAAAATAATGTGTTTTTTGAACCTTAAACCGCATTTCATTACACCAAATACACAAAATAATGTTCTTTTTAGCAACATCATATGACCCCTTTAAGAAACATAAATATTCGAACTGGTTTTCTTTAAAATACAAATCTTTGTAATCCCAGGCTATCTGTAATCAGAAGCACATTTATAACTGGAATATAATTTCATTTCATTCACGTGTTTCATGAACACATAATCCTTTATGGATTACAATCCGCCATCAAAATGATACATTTAATTATTCCAGCTGCTGTGAGAAAAGGCTATAAATGATCCGCCACCTGCAGGATTCTCACATGTGATAGCCTCGTAGCCGGGACAACTTCTTTTATGTTTACAGACGTGACGTAATGACGCAGTGCCATGCTCGAATTTCCCGCGTCATCACACCAAACTGATGTGTCTGATGGTTTGTGATGTTGTGGGAAAATTAATGTTTTTCTCTTTATGTATGTCACCTGAAATGCAACAAAGACATCACACAGTAAAACAGAGAGCCTTTGAAGTCTTTAGGGCTTTAATTTAATCAGGAAAGACAGAGGGGTTAGTACTTTTGGCCTCACGGGTGTGAAGGCACACAAACACACAGTAAAAACAAATGATCAGAAAGAGCCTTTGAACTCTTCAGTGCAGGAAAGACAGGGGGGTTGTTGACCTCACAGATGTGAAGATAATAAAAGCCCAGGGGGGTTAGAAGGACCATTGTTTTTTCTTTCTGAATACAGCTAGGTGTGGTTTAAGGAAAACCTGCAAGAAGTGGGGGTGATAACAGTATAATAAGGCTGTCTGTTTCCAGTGTGATTTCGGGTTTTGTTGTATTTCAGGGTAGCTGCTGAAACATGAACATACCTCTTTAAGGAAAATAAACTTCTTTCCTTAAATATAATTTGATTCCTTGTCTCTTACTCTGTGATGCTATTTTGTTAGTAATTGTTTTTGCCACAACAGTTATTATAAGCTAACCGTTGTGAATTGGGAAGTAAGGCGATAGTTTTGAACACTGGCTGGTTATGCACTTGCTCAAATATTGGTTTCGGATCATTTTTAACCAAAAAAAGTTACGGACTGATGTTTCTATACAAATTTGTATATGCTTTGTTAAATCTATCGAACAGTAGAAAAAAAAGGAATCAAGTATTATTATATTCCCATTCATCTTAAATTTTTTCCTCTTTAAGGAAAGAAAAACAATGTGTGTGGGGGACAGGTTCTGCATGTGTTTGTGTGTGTGTTGTGTTGTGTTGGTTTTATAAACCTACTGGCTGTTAGAAAAATAATTTAGCTGTTTTTGTTTTTGTTTTTGTTACACAGTGAACTCCTGAACAATGCCAGATGGACAAGTCGTTCTTGATCTTTTGAGAGTTCCAGGTTGGTAAGATTAAGTTAAATAACATCGATAAAATATTAAACTATAACAACTTAAGTTAGAATCAATCCATGTATTGTATTTCATAAACAAATTTTTTTTACAATGCTTATTACTATGTATTTCAGACTTAATCAGCTGAGATGTGTTATGGAACTCCTTGTTAGTATAGTGGTAAGTATCCCCCCGCCTGTCAGCAATGGGCCAGCCGCGGATAGTTGTAACTCACTGACAGCCAATGAAATTGAAGCATTTCAACAGCTGGCCAAAGAGCGGAAATTACGTTTGATTTTTTTCATGCATTTATTTGGACCAGGGTTCACGCAGGTCTGAACCATTATTTCACACAGCTTTATGCTTTTTATAAAACAAAATTCTAAAATGTAACAATACATTACAGTTGGAAAGTATTTTAAATTTATGTCTTGCCTTTTTGGATTACAAAGCAAAGTATTATGAATAAATGATTAGTATTAAAATAAATACAGTAAAATAATAGTAGTATAACATTACATGGTTATATGAAAACATGAATAGTTATATTAAATGGCTTTTCTAATGTAAATAAGAGGCATTTAAATTGAATTAAAACGGAGTAATATTCAAGTATTCAATGAAAGTTAATTTAAGTGATTTAATTTAAGTCAACACTTAAGTTAAATGACCAATTAAGTGTTTCCAGAACCATAGAAACGATAAAATATTACTCCTATGAAGTAGAACACAGCACTCATGAAGCAATTTGTATTTTTCAGTTGTATTTTTATTAAATGCTTTAAGCACTTTTTAAGATTAGTAAATATTGATCCAAATAATAAAGTAGAAAGAAAAATAGAATTCTGACAATATATACATATTAAAGTCTCACGCTGAAAAATAAGCAAATCAAAATATACAGTATATACATGAGTTAAATATTTCTTACTGGTAAAAGATCAAGAAATATAATTTATTTCTTTTTTTCGCATAAAATGCAGACTCTTTAAACTCTTTCCAGGTCATCTCTTTCTGTATGCCCTGAGGTTGGTAAATGGAAAAGACTTAAGCAGGGCAATGACCATATTTCCCTGCTACGCCAGGAAAGCCTGTGTGTATGTGAGGACTGTTTGGACCCTGCTTCAGGTCTATTTTTCAAAATCTGCACAAGCAACCAACATGTTCAGTTTCAGGTCTTTTGCGTTTTTGCTGTCCTCTGTCCTCCACCCGTTTCTTTGTGTCCTCAAGTTCACTCTTAAAGAACTCCATTTCCATAAAGTCTTGGAATGGCATTCTGGGGTTTGTTAGTCCTTAATCACTGTAACTGTACGCGTTAAAAACCTTTGTAGAACAGTAGAAGTACCTGACGGCCTTGCTGATTAAAGGTCCCATATTGTCAAAACTGAAATTTCCTGGCTTTTTTCATGATAACTGAGGTCTAGGTGCTGTGTAACTAGCATATAAGTTTCAAAACAGTCAGTCCACAGTAAAATTCACACAGCCTGCTTAAAGTAGCTGTGATTTTTCACGAACCTTTGTGACTTCCGTAAAAAGTTGACGTCAGAACTACACATTCACTGCCTTCAGTCACCACCCCGAGCACCACCCACCGTCCCACTCTCCTTTTGCCAAACCTCCAGACAACATTGCGTCCATGCTTTGCTGAGCAAGGACAACACAGAAACATGTCGAAAAGGTTAACTTTAACCACGAAAACCAGATCGGCTGACCTGTAACATTACACTCTCACTCAAAGGATGGACGATCTGACAGGATTGTTACTATGAGACAAACTCACCGTGTCTATCTAGTCATGATGAAGATGTATATACATTTCAATTTCAGCAGGCAACTATTTTTACAGCTACATTATTGTTCCAGCCACAATTAATCATCAGTTTGTTGTTTTACACAAATGCACACAGACATTATTTCATACACGACATAATCGTGAGATGCAAGAAACATAGACATATGGCAAGAAATCTGTAGACGCGCCCATAACAACAAAAGACAATACTTTATTGATCCTTTTCTGATAAGAAGTGTGCGCTGCAAACACGAGCATTTTTGACGATCGTTTCTGTCAAGTCTGCTTGTTTACCATCACGTTTAACCACAGCTGTCGTCGGTTTTTTGTCAGGCAGTGGCAGCAGATAAGCAATCAAATTTCTAATTTGAGGCTGTATTACGTCGATTCTGGCACCCAACATCACAACAAGATGATATTTTAAGCTCCTTATGTAGCCGAATCTGTGCTGGTTTGAATGGGCCGCCTCCAGTTTTAAGTATTCAATGAAAATTAATTTAAGTGATTTAATTGAAGTCAACACTTAAGTAAAATGACCAATTGAGTGTTTCCAGAACCATAGAAACTAGTTTCTATGGTATGGTATAAACTTTGTTTTGCTGCCTCCAGCTAGCGCTGTGACGTCGCTGACCCTAGTTACCTGTGGTTGGCCTGGCCATGCGTCACTCAGAAAACAACAGGCCAATCAGAAGATAGGCTCATGAATATTAATTAGACAGGCCAAACTCGACCTGTTCTCAGCAGAGCTCCTGAGAAAGGAGCTGTAAAAATATATTGAGATGGTTTTTGGTACTTATACCGCAAATATATATACTTAAGGACATCAAAACCTAAAATAAAACTCCAGAAAGGTGTAAAGTATGGGACCTTTAAAACAAAAGTGGATAGAGGAACCATCTTTGGCTGTCCACAAGCAAGACAAGTCTTTGTTTGTTTCTTCTTCTCCTGCTCAGGTTGCTGCTGCTGCCGCTCCATAATACAATTCTCTCAATGGTGTCATGAGTTAGGAGTGTGGTCAGAGCAGGTGCTGGTGGGTTTACATCCACGGGCTTCATTGTTACCACTGGCGCTCTGGTTGTTTTACTACCTCCTTTAAAGACGTTTCTCTGGAGTTGTTTAATGATGAACTGGTGTTCAGCAGTTTGGCCAGGTGCTTGTCATACTGTGAAATGTGCAGTTTTGTGGTCGAATGGAGCATGCTGTTTGGATCAGTAGAGGAATTGTGGATCATTGCTGCATAGTCCTGAGGATGTCCTTCTTCCCATGGTGTTTATTAAGCAAGTTGTCAATGGGCTCCGCGTTTGTGGTCCAGTACAAACACCCTGCCACCAGTCTTCACAGGTCCAGTACAGGTTGCAGGCGAGGCCAGCATAGGCAGAGGTGGCATATATGTAGTTCCTATACAGAGGGGAAAAAATGAATCAATTTCTGCATTCAGAAAATTCTGATCGAGGCTCCACATGGGAACCATGAGATGAGGACAGCGAGGGCACAGGCAGTGTACCAGTGGTGTCTGCAACAAGTTGAATATTTAGTTTAATGTGTAAGGAAACAGAGTTTCTGCAGGTTTTATGAAGGTAAAGTTAAGATCTTTTTAAGACCAAATAAATACAATTTGAGGAACAAACAAGGAAAAACACAAATATGTTCTGTGAATGTAAATGTCTGTAGAGAAACACGAGTTTGAAAATACAACTTCCAACAGATATTCATAATTTAATTCATTTTACAAAAATGCACTGAAATAGTCCGCTCCCAGACAAAAGAATATGGAAATACAGTATATTTTGCTGTACATTCAGATCATGCTGCAAAAATGTGATGTTCTTCCTCTGTATTTTTGTCTTGTTTTCCAGTGCAAATGCCTAAAGATTCTTAAATAAAGATACATTTACTGGAGATCCAAAATGACATGAAATATGAAGTCTTGTTTGAAGTGATTTTGTGATTAAAACAAGAACTAATATCTGCCGTTTGGCAAAAAAGTCAACTTAATTTAAAGGGAAGTTTTGACACCTCATTGACAAATATTGTTTTAAGTGTAAACTCATTTAATTTTATTAAATTTGTCAAGACTTCATTTTACATTTGGATGTGAAATAAACATATCTTGATTGAAAGATGTTTGATGTTTGTATTGGAAAACGAGACAAAACACAGAGGAAGAGATTCCTTCACTTTTTGCTATGCATCCAACATTTAATGCCATCATTTTATGAATTTAAGACTTTCTACTCTGATTTAAAACTTTCTTAAGGCATTAATTTGTGTAAGGGTAAATGAAGACATTTTAAGACTTTAAAACGTGCAGAAACCTTTTGTGTATGGTGTTAATGTGTCAAATATTTACCTGTTTCTGACTGAGGATCTGCTTGGGTACCAGGAAAAGATGACAGCAAGGGCACAGGCAGTGTACAAACAGTGGTCTCTACAAGAACTACAAAATAGCAATATTACAAAAAGCAATAATTCTATTACAGACACAAATAAACACACGCGCACATATACATACATACACACACACACACACATATAACATACTGTGTATATATATATAAACCATAATGTTACTATAGTCAAACTAGTAATCCTACTGTTCTTGGCTGATTGATATTCATTTACAATTTCATGGCTGTACTGCAAATGCCCAATACAATAACAACAATAGTAAATGTATTGTTGTGATTCAACTAAAATACCATGGCTAAATTATGGTTACTATAGTAAAACCATGGTCAGAAAACATTTTTGAACTGTGGAATACATGTAATCTCATTACAAAAATAATAATGATGGTTACGTCCATTCATAATTTAGCTTGTAATCAACAGATGACGTGTGAATGACAAACAATACACAGAAACGTAAATTACAGCTATGTTCATTCATAATTTTGCGTGCAAACAACCGCTGTTTTCTTCTTCTGCGAATTCAAATTTCCCAGGGTGCCAAAACACGGAAGAGCGCTAGCGGCAGAAAGCATCCGTAGTGGTTTAGCGCAGGGCTGTCCAAACTCGGTCCGGTGTCCTGCAGAGTTCAGCTCCAACCCATTAAATATAGTTTTTTTTTTTTTTTTTACCATTTGTGGTTAAATTTTACCTGGTTTGTTTTTTCTAACTCCGTATAACTTACCCAACAAGCCTGATGAGGGTGGGTTTTTTTGTATCGTCTCCACCATATTGTCTTGTATTCGCTGCCACAGCTGCCATTCCATTCGTGGGTGCAGAATATAAAATGGCTGTTGAGGGTGTAATCGTCGATATCGCTGATACTGCTTAAATATAGGGTAATCTGTCTTGTTGAACCACTGAAAGGAAAAATAAAAAGAGAAATAACAAATCAAATTTATAAAATCTGGAATGTTTACAAAACCTCAGTTATTGTGTATAATATAATTGTTTCACATTTCAATTATTTTTTCATTCTTTCAATCATTATTTTAGGGTCAACATGAAACAGTTTTGAATAAAGTTAAAGAAATTAAATTATAGTTATTGTATATTACAATCAGGGTTATCATGTTCAACTAAAACCATTGAAAACATTTTCATTACTTGGAAGTAAATAAAATATAAAACTTATTTTATTTCAGCTACTTAACGAGGCAACATTTAATTTTAATTTAGTTTACCCTGATGTAGTAAAATAAACTTTAGTAAAAATGTATAAAAATTATATTTAAAAACAACAAAAAGTAATAAAAAAGACAAACACTAATTAAAATTGACTTAAAACGCAGATATACAAAAATAAAATCTAAACCAAATCTAAATCTCTCTCTCTCTATCTATATATATATATATATATATATATATATATTAGTGCTGGGCAACGATTAAACTTTTTAATTGCGATTAATCGCATGATTTTCTGAGATTAATCGCATTATGCACAAAATTCAATAATGAATTCAAAAGCAGTGTATTGTGCACTATTCTGCTATATGAACAAAAGTGCATTAACATTTGGTTTGCAAATACTTTAAACAAATAAGGTGATTTTTTTACAGCAGTATTTCATTACATAGTAGCAGTTAAAATATTTCTTGTAATCTCAATTTATAATATTAATGTAATCAAATTAAATAGAAAACCAAAGCTATTTGCCACTGCCAGGGCATTAACGTTTTTATAGAAAATATGTTATAGTTTATTATAGAAAAACAAGTTATGCTCAGAGTCCAGAGCCTCGATCATAACAGTTAACAGGCACCTTCCTAGTCGAGACCTGCATGATCGCGGGACCCAACGCAACAGAGTATGGCATGGGACAACAATTGATGAGCGAGTGCGGGTGGGTAGAGACTCATGTGTGCGGGATGCGGGAAAATAAGGGTGTACTCACACTAGGCTTTTTGAACCGTGCCCGAGCGCGTTTGACCCCCAAAGCCCGGTTCGTTTGACTAATGTGAGCGCTCCGTGCCGCGCTCGGACGCGGTTCGTTTAGCCGGCCCTGGCCCAGTTGGAAGAGGTGGGCCAGGGCACGGTTCAGTTAGGCTTGGGCGCGGTATGCATGCAGTGTGATCGCTAACCGTGCCGGAGCACAGAACAGATACTACCGTATTGTCCCGAATATAAGATGATGTTTTTTTCTTGTAAGGGTGCTTTCACACATGGCTCGTTGTTTCGGAACCTGGCGCGTTTCCCCCCTTAGCTCGGTTCGTTTGGGCATATGTGAACACAGCAATTGCGCTCGGATCCGCGCCAAAACAATCGGTCCAAGATCGCCTGAACGAGGTGGAATAATTTTAATCCCGTTTCGGAACAAAGCAATCGATCTACAGGTGTGAAAGCACCCTAAGGGTGTATCACGCTAGGCAATCTTAACCGTGCCCGAGCGCATTTGACCACCAAAGCCCGTTTCATTTGACTAGTGTGATCGCTCCGTGCAGCGCACGGGCGCGGTTCGTTTAGCCGTCGCTGGCTTGGTTGGAAGTGGGCCAGAGCGCGGTTCAGTTGGGCTCGGGCGCGGTATGCATGTAGTGTCGGAGCGCTGAACTTCTGATACGTGCAGCATGAGCCTTTTCTATTTTTCTACTATATCCACTCCATGTCAGAGGTTTTGTATTTTACCTTACATACATTGGAAACGTGCACTCATTTTTCATTATTACAATTTTTTACATTTTATACATTTACATTTAATCATTTAGCAGACGCTTTTATCCAAAGTGGTTTACAAATGAGTGCTGTGATAAGTTAAAATGATAGTGCATGACATTCTTTGAACTATACAGTAGTGATGGCGAAGTGAAGCGTTATGAACCAGCGAAGCTTTCAACACAATTGTATCGGAAAAAGGTTCATTACTCAAAGCTTTTTAAAACGGTTTATGCTGTGGCCATCTATGGGATCATATTCCCGCCAAATGTATTACAGTCACGGATAAAAAAAAAATAACAAGCGTGAAACCAAAATGTAAAAACGCAAGTAAAATTATATTGCACAATTTAAAAAACGAAAGCAAAGTTTTCAGAATAGCAAACAATGTTCACGGATCAAAAAAGAATAAGTGTAAATAAAATTTAATAACGCATTAAAAAAAATTATAATAAGCACGAATCAAAACTTTAAACATTTAAAATCATATTGCACAAAACTGAAATATTTAAAAAAAAATGATCCGAATTGCACACAAAATCATGTTTTCCTTGGTTATATTTCTCTGTTTCTTGTGCTCTCAGACATTTTCTGCACTTTGTGAGAACTGATGAAGGCACGGTTTGAACTTCAGCTGTTTATTCATTTTTCCACCCATGAACGAAAAACAAAAATTTAAGCCGAATTCTCCTTGAAAGTAGACAAATGAGAAAACGGCTCCTTTTTTTTCTTTTTCTTTTTTTCAAAAAACGAAAAAGGAGCCGTTTTCTAATTTTTCTACTTTCAATATTAAATCAAAGATCGAATGATACACGGATTCTACATGCCACCTCTCCGGTGACCCATGGTTTGTCTGTGTGTATGCAGAGCTAGCGAGCAACGGACTTTCATAATAATAAAAAAACTGCGTTAATGTGCGATAAAATAATTGTTGGCATTAATCAATTAGTGCGTTAACAACATGTTAACTTGCCCAGTCCTACCTATCTATCTATATACACACACACACGATTTTATTATTTTAGCCAACATTTTTAACAGTATTTTAGAGTAAATTATAGTGTGTATTTTATCATTTCTAAATCTAATTTAGAATCAACAGTAAACATTTTTATACAATTTTGTAGAGCTATGAGAGCGCGGACATCTCCTTATGCTTTCTCTCGCCGTACTTTGATGTCATACACCGATCGATCTTCAAGTCGAACACACCTCTTTACTCTCGCGTGTCACGTTTTCACATCGCGATATTATCGCAAATGCAATTAATCGTTCAGCCCTACATACTAAAGCTACGACTAAGCCTTTGTGTTGAAACTTGCTAATTAAGCATGACATTTTGGAAGTTTGTGAACGTGCCAAATGCTAGAAAGTGGAAAAGTGAGTTCTTACCTCCTGTAGATCAGAGGAATAAGGGCCTGGATCCCAGCTCACTAAAATCCCAGCACTGTACAAAGAACTGGAGAGGAAATGGTGATCTTCAGATGCCATTACCTATGCAATAAACAGACATTATGTTTTTTAGGAGCTTATTACTGCATGTTATTTTAACTTTTCACCAGTTATCAAAGAAACTACCTGGGAATTGATCAGACGCACTGTTGTTTTAGAGCCCACATCTTTCTCAAAGCCTGTTGTTGGTGCAGCATTGAACCGTATCACTGCATCATGTGCATCTAGAATTCAAGAGGTTTTCTTTAGCGATAATCAGATAATATTGATAGTAGTGAAAATAATCATTAAATCAACAATATATATATATATATATATATTTTTTTTTTTTTTTTTTTTTTTTTTTTTTTTTTTTGTGTATTTTGGAAAATAATATGTTTTTTAACTTTAAACCGCACAAACACATTTCATTACACCAAATACACAAAATAATGTTCTTTTTAGCAACATCATATGACCCCTTTAATGTCATTAGATTTCAGAGAATTCAGAGGGTCATGCAGAGGAACAGCCGCAGCTCAGGGTATAACACCTCACTGTATGATGAAGTTTATTGAAGATGAAATATGTCTGTATAAAACGTAATCTTATCACATTTAGGCCACTTAGAGTATGTGATTTTTGCACGTGTATTCTTCATTGTCCCTACTTTTTTTTGTGTGTGTGGAAATTTAAGCCAAAATGCTTAGTTACATAACTTTATAGTAATGTCTGGTGACGTACTTAAGATATCTAATCTCTTGTATAATGGTTTACTTTTTTCTTTTTTCCTCAGAGGTACATTCAATTTCAGGTCAAAGAAATACAGTCGTGGTCAGAATTATTGGCACCCTTGGTAAATATGATCAAAGAAGGCTGTGAAAATAAATCTGCATTGTTTATCATTTTGATCTTTTATTTTTTTTTTAATCACAAATATCTAACCTTTCATTGAACTAAAACAATTGAAAATAGGGGAAAATCTCATTATGAAATAAATGTTTTTCTCAAATACACCTTGGACACAATTATTGGCACCCCTAGAAATTCTTATGAGTAAAATATCTGTGAAGTATATTCCCATTCATATGTACAATTTTGAGCATACCAGGGTGATTACGAACATGAAATTATCCAGCCATGGCTTCCTGTTTCACAGGAATATAAATAGGAGGGAAAACAAAGGCAAAATTCCCTTAATCACAATGAGAAAACCCAAGAATACATTTCTGATGTGCAGCAAAAGATAATTGAGCTTCACAAATTAGAAAGTGACTTTAAGAAAAGAGCTAGAGCTAAAAAAATTCCCATTTCCACCATCAGGGCAATAATTAAGAATTTCCAATCAATAGAAAAATTTTACAAATCTGCCTGGAAGAGGACGCGTGTCTGTATCGTCCTAATGCATGGTGAGGAGGAGAGTTTGAGTGGCTAAAGACTCTCCAAGGACCACAGCTGGAGAATTGCAGAAAATAGTGGAGTTTCAGGGTCAGAAAACCTTTAAAAAAATAAAATAAATAATAAAAAACCCGGCACCTACACCACACGTTGTTTGGGAGGGTTTCAAGAAAAAAAATCAAGGAAAAAAAAAAAATCAAGAAAAGAAAATGCTCTCATCCAAAAACAATCCCCAGCATATTCTGTTGTCAGACACGATTTGGAACTTCAATAAGGGACTGGCTTCTATGGTCAGATGTAACTAAAAAAAATAGCTTTTTAGCAACAAACACTCAGGATGGGTTTGGTGCGCACAGGGATAAAAAGTACCCCATGTGTACAATGAAATATA